TATTGTAAGAGGTCATGAAGATTGAAACTGAGCAGGGTTAAAGAGGAAGGCCTGGCTGTGTCATCACTGATTTCCTTTGCAATCTTGGACAGTTCAAATCAACTGCAAGGAAATTTTTACTGAGCACTGACAAACAGCCTTTTTGGGTCTTTGTTTCATATTTAAAAGAGGGAGTTAGTTGGACTGAATAGTTCCTATGTTTTCCCCAGCTCCCAAATTTTGACTGAAAATCAGGGGTTTATATGGATTCATATGCACTTGAGGAATATTTAGCCTTTCTAAGAAACCATTGAACTAGTTGACTTGAAAAAAATTATTCACAAAAATAATATTAGAACCAGTGTAGTAATAATGAGATAATACTATGATAATAGCTACATTTATTTACTTATTCACTCACACACACACACACACACACACACACACACACACACACACACATTGTCTTGCTGTCATCTAGGCTGGCGTACAGTGGTGCTATCACAGCTCACTGCATCCTCGAACTCCTGGGCTCAAACAAACCTCCCGCCTCAGCCTCCCAGGTAGCTGGAACTACAGGCATGTGCTGTCACACCTGGCTAATATAAAAAAAAAAAAAACTTTTTTAGAGACAGAGTCTTGCTATGTTGCCCAGGCTGGTTGATGATAGCTCATTTAATGAGCACTTACTACTTGTGAGACATTGTTATAATTTTTGCATGTGTATTAATTTATCTAATCTATAAAACCCTAAGGGTAAATGCAGTTATTAGCCCCATTTTGTAGATGCAGAAACTGAGGGCCAAAGAGGTCAGGTTAATTCTTGTAAGATCCAGAATTAAGTGGTGGTGCACCTAGGATTCAAGTCCAGGCAGGCTGACGCCAAGCCCAAGCTCTTCACTGTTATACTGTACTGCCACTAACATTCACTAATTATGAAGGGTCATGGTAGATGCCCTCAGTGATTTCCCAGCCCTCAGGTAACCCAGAGGAGCTTCAGGGCTTCTTATGGTGCAGGGTGCAGTGGCAAGGCCAGGTTTGGTAGGATTGCAGGGGCAGGAGGAGGAAGTGGCAGGAGGTTGGTCTGGATTTGTTGTCTTGTAGGTGGCAGGCAGGGAAAGACAACAGACCATTCTGATATTGTATCCAGAAGGGACAGTAAGAAAGGAGAACATAGGTTTCTCTATTTGTGCCTCTCCACGTGTTGCCCCTTCCGCTGTGGCTGTGATCTTTCAAACACCAGTTTCACACAAGGACTCCTTAGACAGAGGCTCTCAGTTGCCTTGTGCATTGAGGCCTCTATGCAGCTGCCACTCCGTCCCGCCAAGTCCAGTTTCAGTGTTTGCGTCTCTGCAGTTGGCATCCCCATCTCCTGACAGACCCCATACCACGGGCCCTTCCCATTGGTTTTCTCTTGCTCAGGTCGTTCCTACCACCTGGAGTGCCTTCCCTTTTGCACTCTGCCTTCCGAATCCAGTCCTGACCTCCAGAGCTTTTGCCAGCTTTCTTGGAGAGTCCTCTGTTTTGGAAACTCTGGTGTCCTTGATTTTATAGCACTTTGGCACTTACTTGTGTCAATATGTATTTTTTGTTTTGCTTTCCAAATTGTATTATAAACACTTTGAAGGAAGGGAGTGGGAATGAACATTTAGATTGCTCTCTTTATGATGGGATTCAGACCAGTTCTAGATCAGTTTCTGGAACTTCAGACTTTAAGTTCCCTGTTAAGGATGTTAAGGATGGTTAGGTCCACACATCAGCCCACCAACCTCTGGACCTAAATTCTAGCAAGGCTGTTTAGGATATATGAAAGGGAGTCCTATTTTGTGTAGCTAGTAATAAACTCATAAAATTTATTACTCTAAGAAGAAAAATAGGCAGAAAATGATAAGTCATTAATGACAGTCACCTCTTTCTACTAAGGATGCTCGTGTATTGTGTTATCCTTTGGGGCATCTGTTGATAAAATACTTGGGTGTACTGAACTGGGTATGATAAATTTCGTCTTGTCTGCTCACATTGATTGGTTAGTAGTGGCTTTTCCAGCTAGTGTTGAGAAGGATTCTGAGGCTTTGCAGGTTGCCATGTCTGCCAAGGGCTTGGAAATGGCAGCAGTTGTAAGATGTTCTCTACTTTCTGGAATTCTGACCCAGTGTGAGGCTATTCCTCTTGGTTAGCACTCCCTCCAAACAAGCTGGTGAGATGTTGGCAAAATATATGAGGGGTGACTTGAAAAAAACCAGAATTATCTCCTGGAAGGTGGGCCCCTGGTAGTACACTCAGAATTTGTTCCTCCTATCAAATGGTCAACCAAAGTTTTTATCTGGAAGTTTTGAAAAGGTTGTGTCATGATTTGTGAAAGAAACGTCCCAAGTTGTGGCAAACAGGTGACTGGTTCTTCCACCATGACAACACAGCTGCCTACACCACAGAATAACTCTCTTGCTCCACCCTCCCTATTCACCCAATCTCACCCCACACAACTTTTTTTTTTAGTTTCTCCGGATAAAAAAAGTCCTCAAAGGAAAATATTTTTCCAATGTGGAAGAGATAAATGTAGCAGAAGTAAAAGGCACCAAAATTGATGAGTTCAAAAATTGTTTTGAGCAGTGAGAAAAGTGTCCCAATAAGTGTATTGCATCAAATGGAGAGTACTTTGAAGGCAACTGAAGTTTAAACATGTAAGAATAAATACACACATTTTCATAAATAAATTCCAGGTTTTTGGGGGTTCCCCCCCATATATGTACACACCCCAAAGCCTCTGGAACCCACCACTGAAGTGCACATAGGATGCAAGATATTGCTTCCCCACTCACACTTTGCTCTATTTTAAGTTAGAAATAGCCATTATCTTTGTTGAGCATGTCAGAAGCCAGAAGTGGAACACCTATTGCTTCCTTCTAATATCAGATGACTTATGCAGAGCCAGCCACAAGGCATTCCCAACCCGTTCAGCTGCTTGTCCCAGGACTCACTTGGCCCACTCACCTCCCACTGATGGCTCTGGAAAATGGGTGCCTCCCAGAAGCTTTTTCCCATGATAGCCTTTTGTTGCTGGTCCCTCCCAGAACTCACACACGGTCATATCTCACACGGTCATATCTCTCTCTCTCTCTCTCTCTCTCTCTCTCTCTCTCTCTCTCTCTCTCTCTCTGACTCAAAAAAAATAAATGAGCCGGGCACAGTGGGTCACACCTGTAATCCAAGCACTTTGGGAGGTGGAGGCGAGAGAATTGCCTTAACCCAGGGGTTTGAGACCAGCCTGGGCAACTTCGCTGGTCTGTACAATAAATCAAGAAAAATTAGCCGAGTGTGGTAGTGCATGCCTGTAATTCCAGAACACTACTTGGAAGGCTGAAACTGCTTCAGGAGCCGGGCTCGGTGGCTCAGCCTGTAATCCCGCGCCTTTGGGAGGCTGAGATGAGTGGACTGCCTGAGCCCACGGGTTCGAAGACCCGCCTGGGCAACTTGGTGAGACCTCATCTCTACAATAAATCAAAAGTGAGCCGGGTGTGGTAGCACACGACTGTAGTTCCAGCTCCTTGGAAGGCTGAGGCGGAAGGATCGCCGGAGCCCAGCAGGTCGAGGCTGCGGTGGCCAGGAGCGGCCACGGCACTTCAGTCTGGGCGACAGAGTGAGACTCCGACTCAAAAAAAAAACTGCTTCAGGGGTCTGTTTTGCTTAAGACCAAGGATTCTCAAACCAGGTCTGTAGGAAAATCACCTGGCAGGCTTGTTAAAAATGCAGGTTCTTGGGCCCAGAGCTTTTGACTTGGTAGAACTGACTGGGCTGGGGCCCATCATTTGCAATTCTAGCAACAGGTTTGCAGGTGAGGCTGTTGTTGCTGGTCCAGGGATCAGATTGAACCAATGCCGGTTTTGGTTGGTAGCTGGGCAGATACATCTTCTAGATGATCTTTGCCTTAGCTTTTTTCTAGGCTTCTAAATAGAATTAAAATATATTTAAAATTAAATAACATATGCTTATGGCTAAAACAAAAAATCAGTAAACATAGACTTATAATAAGAAGTTGATCTTTTTTCTTCCTACTCCCCAAAGCTACTACTTTTAAGTGTTGTGACTTCTACAAAATTTGGTAATTATTGCCATAATTCTAGATAATAAAGGTTCCTGCTGCCATTTCTCTGTCAATTCTTTTTCATCATTACTTATTGCTTTTCTGCTTGGATAGATGTCAATTTAAGAGCTTACTTAAACTGCACTCACTGCTCCTTTCTAGTCCTTTTGATATGACTATATCACCATTTATGGTTTTCCTGGTTACACTTTTATCTTAAATATCATGTTTATGCCTTTAATCCTTGTCCTTCAATGAAGACTTTCTATTATTTGGGAATGTGAGTATTCTCTCTCTCCTGCCCTTCGATTCTCTTGTACCTTCCCCTTGTTTTTTGTACCCTACCTTTTACTTTGTCAAGGTTGGGAGTATTTACATTGTGTTATATAACTGTGATTCATGCTTTGTGTGTAGTTGAAAGTCAGCCAATCAATAGTGGCATTGTTATTGTGTCTGCAAATGTTTTTCTTTTTTGAGTTTGAGTCTCACTCTGTCACCCAGACTGGAGTGCAGCGGCTGCTCCCGGCCACTGCAGCCTCGACCTGCTGGGCTCCGGTGATCG